ACAAAAGGCGAAAATTCAGAAAGCGGCAAGTCTAAAGTTGAGCGCATGATGAACCGCAAGATTCTGAAGACGACTGCCCGAGTTCCTATGCTTCAGCCTGAGGATCAGACTGATCAGCTTCATTGGGCCCAATGGTGGTCTCAGCTCCAGCAGCAGAAGAAGCAGGCTTTGCACTCTGCCGAGCCTCCCTTTCCCTCTGCTCAGCCTCCAACTCCATCCTCTCAGCTTCTTCCTCGGCTTCCTCAGCCTTAAGGATTTCAGCTTCGATTGGAGTGGCATACTTCATGTGAGGGTCTTCGGGATCTTGGACCCATTCAGCACATTTGGACCAGTCCAGCTTCGGCTCAGCATGAAGGCAGACCCTTCGGCACACTCTGAACCCGTTTCTAAAACCCATTTCATACTCTTCTTGGGTATAGATACGGACTTTGAGTAGAGCCTCAGCATCGGCCAACTTCTTCTTCGTCTCCTCCAAGTCTTCCTCGGATCTCTTCAGCTCATCGACGAGCTTGGAGGAGGAGCCTTTCAGCTCGGTAAACTCTTGCTGAACCTGGGAAGCCTCGGCCTGAACTTGGACCATTTCTTCCTTCTTGGCAGTGAGCTGATCCTCAGCCTCTTGTAGCTTAGCTCTTTGAGCTTCAGCAGCAGCAGCAGCCCTTGAGAGTTGGACATCCCTAGCTTGGAGCATCTCTTCAGCAGCCATTCTGCTGGCTTCAAGAGATTCTAGCTGATGCTGCACTTCAGCCTGTGCAGCAGCTCCTTCTTGGATTCGGCTCTCGATAGCAGCCTTGAACTTGGAGATGTCCACCCCCAGGTGCTCTTGGAGGAATTTTTCCCCTTCCATCAGTGGGGGAAAAACTTCCTTCTCCATAGCGTCGCAGAAGGTCTGGAGGGCTTCAGCAGCCTTTTTCTCGTACTCCTCAGCCTTCTGCTGCTTCTCTTCAGCTGCTGCCTGCTTCAGCTTAGCAAGCTTTAGCTCTTCCTCGGCTACCCTTTGATCGTGCTCGGCAGCGTCCACCCTATCTTGTAGGGAATCTATCAGCTCTACAGTGAGAGTCTGATTGTGCACGAACTGAAAACAGGGGCACAAGTTAAAAAAGTAAAAAATAATAGCTGAAAGGTTGAGTTCAGAAAGAAATCAAGGCAAGGAGAATTACCTGCATCATCAGCAGTTGGTTGGACCTGGCAGGGTCAGGAACTGATCTGCTGGATTCGCCCATCCCAGCAGTGGCCTTCAGCGACCAAATCCTTGCCCTATCTACTTCGGACAGGCCAGCAAAATCGCCGAAGTAGGCTGCAGCACCTTCTCGGTTCTGACCCCATATGAGGTCCCAGATGTGGTCTGGGACTGGAATTCGGGGGGCCGAGAAACCCATTTCTCCAGACTGCAGCGTCTGGAAGGAAGGGAAGGATGACGATGGAGCCTCTTTAGCTTTGGGTGGCTCAACGTCCTCCTCCTTCTCAGAAGAGTCAATTATTGTGACCTCTTCTTCTTCAGGTGTGAGGACGAAGGCCCCAACCTCTCTGGCAATGTCCGCCGTGAAACCCTCAGCACTGGGCATCACGGCGTCTCCATCCTTGTCCTCGGCGGCACTCTCTCGAGCTTCTTCCAGAACCTCTCCCTTAGGTTTGGGAGTTCTCTGATCCACCTCCATCTCGGGGGGTGGCGGAGAGGCCCTTGGGGGTGATTGAGGCGGTGGCCGGGGAACCCTCGGCGATCCATTGCCTTCCTCGGGTTCCCTTATTTCAACGCCGATGGTCATCGGCCTCCGCTGAAAGTCATGCGGGCCGATGATGGCCATTCTTCGGCGCCTCTTCTGAAGCGGCTGCTCGTCCATACCCGAGTCTGAAGACTCTTCTTGTACTTGGTCTTCGGGACGAACAGGGGCTTTCCCTTCCCTGTGTCTGCTGCTCTCTTCAGACTGTAAAGGGCAGGCAGGGGGAAGAATGTGAGTAAAAAAAAAAAAAAAAAGAAAGACAAAGTTAAGTCTAAAGGCTCACCGAGGTCTTCAGCAAAGCCTCGTCTTCTTCAGCTGCCCTAGCCGCAGCTTCTTCAGCAACTCTGGAGGACCCTTCTCCACCTTCACAAGCTTCAATAACCCGTGCAACCTCTTCGGCTGTACGGGCAGCTTCAGCTTCTTCTTCCAGCAGCTGAAACAAGGGATCTCTCTTCTTCCACCAAGGCTTCTGCCTCTGATACAGAGCAACAGCCTCAATTTGGAAGTGGGAAGAGTCTAGGTGAACCTCTCGGCGCCTTGGTTCAGTGATAGGGGGAGCCCGATCAGTTACGACTCGTTCTCGGTTGACGCCAAGGCGAGCGTAATCAATGCCGACGTTGGTCTCGTCCCGTTCTGAAAAAGAAAAGGGGAGAAGTCAATTCAGTTAGTTCGGCACATCACAAGAAAGCAAAATGAAAGAAGAAAAGAGATAATTAAAAGGCCTCGGCCCCAGCCGAAGAAGATTACCATCCCTAAACTTTCGGCTGAGGCCGACAGCTGCCAGCATATTCTCTTGGAAAACATAGTGCGTATCGGGGAGCCAAGTCTCCGGGATATGCTGCATTCGGCCGCTGCCTCCCCGGTTCGGCAGCTTGCCGAAGATGTTCTGCTGATTAAGGTTCGGGTCTGGCCCGCTATCTTCGGGAGGACCTAAACTTCCCATATCAGGATCCGGCTCGGCAAGATACCGGGGAGCGCTGAAAACGTAAGGGTGGCTCGGCTCCGTGGGTGCCCTAACCCAAATCCATTGACCTCTCCAGTCCTTGTCTGAAGAGTCGTTCGGCCACATGGTTAGGAACGGGGGCCGAGACTCAATCCGATACCACCCAGAGCCATGGCATCCGTGCCCACTTTGAATGTTTGGCACTAGCCGATGGAGCCTTTTGAAGCAATGCAGGTTCGGCACGTACCTGAAGAATTTGCAGACCCATAAGTACGTCATTACCCTTCGGATGCTGGTGGGGGTCAGCTGGCACAGGGAAATGTTGTAATGGATCAGCAAGTCTCGGACGAATACGTCCAAAGGGAACCTCAGCCCGTACTGGAGTTGTCTTGTGTACACCCCCACATACCCCGGGGGTGGACGGTGGATTCTATCGGAGGCCGTGGGCATTCGGCACCAATACCCATCGGCTTCAAGGATGCCGTAATGCAACTCAATTTGCTCGGCAAACCGGTACTGATCAGCATTCTCCACCCACCATGAGTAGGGGCGGTTCTTTATCATGGCCGAAGCTACTTCGGCATCCTCCCACTCTGAAAACCCTGGGAGGATATCCCAAAGGACAGCGGGAACTTCATCATCCCGTCCTGAAGCGCTCACCCCCTCAGCCCTCTGAGGAGGAGCCGAAGAAATGGGAGTCGCCCTAACCCCTTCAGCAGGGTCAGACTCTGTCCTTCGTCCATTCCAGGTCCCAATCCTGTCCCTGGGATCGGGGATTAGCCTTGCTCTTCTTGGAGCACGGGCTCCACCTCTAACTCCCCTCACCATTGACGAATTTCGAAGGAAAAAGTCGAAAAAGGGGAAAGAGTGCAAAGTCGAAGAAAAATGAAATAAAATCAAAGGAATTTACCTTGATCTGAAGCAAAAGTCGCCGATTTACGAATTGGTAGTGACAAGTCTCAGCTTCTAAGCTTAATGCTCGGGGAATTTGCGAAGTTTTGATGCGGGCTCTTGAGCGTTCTTGAGAATTCTGGGTTTGTGTTGATGAATGAGTGGGGAGAGAAGACGCGCCTCTATTTATATCTCCAGAAATGGGAATTCAAGGAGTCTGCGTTTCAATTTCTCTCAAGCACCCCACTAAGTAACCGTTAAACACACGACCTTGCAGTTAAATCGCCCACTACCCGTCCAACTTCCGCAATTATCCACATTAACTGTTGTTATCTCATTAATCATGGGTTAATTATGGTTTAAATTCACATTTTTGGATTAACAAATCATTCACTTCCCTCCTTTTCTGATTAAATCAAACCCGACCCGTCATCCTTCCAAATCGGGTCTGGGGGGCAAGTTGTTTGGGTCCAATTTAGTCCAATTGGGCCTGGTCACTGAATGATCCAATTAAAAGCCCAAGGTTAAGGTTCAACTCTCCAAATGTGCTAAAGTCAAAAATCAACATCCTCAAAGCCATGTCAAGGTCAGTCAACGGCCCAATCAGCTTGGCCCAGCCCAACTGACTTCCGGGCCCAATCCGCCTCCTTCATTAGCCAAGGTATAAAAGCCAACAATTTGGTCAATTCTTGGTAAGACAATAAAGCCTCAAGCAACTAAACTCTTGCACAGCTTTCTCTCTCTAATATACTGACTTAAGCATCGGAGGGGCCTTCCTCGGCGTCCCCCCCGAGGCTAGTTTACGTGTATTTGTTGTGCAGGAAACCCTCGGCTCCTGCGTCGTTCGGACCGAGACCAAGTTCCCTCAAGATAAAAGGATCTTCCGAGATTCGATTGTTTTCATCCGAAACACTCCATAATTGAATCATGACACTCTCCACCATTATTTGTGTCAGATCTAGATAAACCACTTATAAGAAGAATTACAGCAATTGAAAATCAAATTTAACACTTCACGTTTTCCCTTCAAATTCATGAAATGACTAAACCATGGTATGGTTCCTTAAAACTATAAATGTTTGTTTAATTTTATGTTACTATTACTTTTTTTTTTGACGAATATGTTACTACTACTTTCTTTCACCTCAAATAAACCAAAAACAATGACCAATTATATTTTGGTAATTTCATGCTCTCTTGTATATTTCTCCTAAAATACAGTCTTTCAAAAGAATACTATGTAATAACGGACCACTATATGTGGGAAAAAAATATCAGACTTATAACAAATCATGCACATAATGTGACAAAATGCAATCGTAAAGTACACTCCTAAAAGTTAGTGCTCTATACAACAAGCATGCATAATAACATCAACATACAAACTAGAATAGACAAAGTAGAAACATGAACCAGAGGTGCAAATCTTGAAGAATAAGACTCAGTACTTCAGTGGTCAGGAATGGCTGCAAATCGATAGCCGGCAGCACCTCTCCACGAGTAATATGCAATCCGAGTCTCATAGAAGCCTGCCATAACAATTTGAAAAAGGATGATATTATAATTTGCTAAAACAGAACCACATAAGAGAAAATTAAAATGAGATAGTCTCAACATTCCTAACCATGAACATACAAATGCCGAGAAAAACAGAATTCATATCTCAAAAGACCAGTGCACATGTTTCTACACTAAAACTATGCAAGAAGAAGAATCTCTTCTGATGCTATAGCGCTGTTAAATTTTAGACAGTAAACACAAAAATCCATCAGCTGTGAGCCAAAAGTTATTTCTAAATAAGGCATTCTTGAGCCATTTCCTAGAACTTGAGTGCCTGCAATAGTTCTCACTCCCTGTTCTTACTCTGTATGTTTTGAAAGAATACATGGGCCAAGCAGGGTTTTGGGCAAGCTCCTTCACTCCCAAATTTTTTCAAAAGTCATGCAGATACTTCAAACCTTTTTTAGATTTATCTTCAGGCTAGCTAATGCTAATACAATCCCTCCTCCCCTCAAGATCAAATGAGGAAAAATAACACCAGAAACAAGACTAGGAAAAAAAAAAATTAAGAAACACGTCAATGGAAACAATTCCTGCTGCAGCCAAGGTGCTAATATATGAGGAATATATGAACTAGACAACCATGGCATAAGCTCAAGGGTCACTCATCAAAATTCTTTATACCGTTAAGCCTATGATATTCAAGGACCTTTCAGAACACTGCTAGTCAACTATAGCACTTGTTACTTGCCTAGATATCAACAAATAGAGATCATACAAGGCAGAAGATCAATCATGTGGTAGCAGAAGACTGAAGGAGTTTCAACAGAATATGTGCTGTTAATGACAATTTATGTTTGAACAAATCAATCAGAATGGTCAAAAGGTATTAATTAGCCAAATATTGCAAGCTTAATGAAGAAGTTTGTTTTAATTAAGGGTGAAATACTCTTTGAGTTCTGGAAGCTGGAGCACATATTTCTGAAAGAAACATATGCTGCCCACAAGGCAAAGCCTATAGATCTTTCTCATCCTTCCTTCTGCAGTGATCTGTCAGCAATGACTCGTTAGCAGAAAGCAAGCGGTGTGAAGCCATAAGCTACTACTGCCTCTATGAAATGTAACAAGCACACTCATTATTTCATTAAAGGGGACTGGAGAATAATTTTCCCAGAATGCCAAAAGTGGCAGTGTTTAACAGATAGGATAACTGCTGCTGGCTACTCATCAGTAGATACATAGCAGAGAAGATAATATTGTGTAATAAAACAAGGCAACTAAATCTGTCCACTAGGAGGGAGCCTATTTTTAAAAGATAACTAATACAGTATATTGAAGAGCTTTTATACACTATATAGAATATAGACTCATTCAAATGATATAAGGCTGATTTAAATGAGTAGGGTTAATTTAAAAGATTGCAGAGCAAGTGCACACTGCAGAGAACATTTGGTTCATTAAACAAGTCAAAAAAATCAAGCAGTACAATCGCCAAAGAAATTATTCAAGGAACAAACTTCAAGAGGAAAGCCACTATCAAAAGTTTCAAGAGCAGCTGCTTAATGTAATAAATGTACTATAATCACTTGGTTTTCTCTGATGATAGATCCAAGTTACACAGTAGCAAGTTAATCAAGATACATCCAAATTTAGTGTTAATAACCATTATCAACTTAATGAAGCTAGCCTAAATTTGCAAGTCAGTTATAACCACAAAATCATCATCCAAATGCTTCCACAAAGCAATCACTCTAAACAGGGTAAGTGGCAATTCAGATCAACGGAGCCATACCCAATATAAACAGAGAAGCAGTTTCCGGTTCAATAGTTTTGCAGGTAAATTACTGACCCAGGATTTATTGTTGCAGCAATCACAGCCACTAGCAGGCAATCTTAAAAGACCTTTCTGAAGGGAAACTTCTGGAAGATACTAACTGGCTAGAAGAGTAAGCAACATCCATCAAATAAAAACATTCAAACTAGAAATCAATAGCATTGGCTACTGTTTTACTAATGCTATAAATTAGGACTTATAGTCTTATAGAATATGTTCTTATGTTTTCTTTAATTCTGGATTTCTTAAAAAAAAATAAGAATCACGTGTGGAGTCCAATAACAGTAGATGAATCAAGCAGAAAAAGCAAACTTAAGTTTTAAGATTGATGAAGAACAAGAGTGATATTATCTAGTCCAAAAGAGTTCTGTGAGCATTATCACTATTATCTACTTATTTCAACCTTGAAGCTTAGTATGATAGTTCCACTATGAAGGTTCTTTAGATAAATCATATCCTTGACTCCTTGAGCAAGAAAGACATCACTCCTCAAAATCAATTTGTTCTTAAGGTGGATAAATTGTAGAAGACGTTAAATAGCTATTGTCTTAGCCTTGATGTGTCAATTCTGCATCTAATTTATCTTTCTTTTTTCTTAGATTTCTCAATGAACATAGTAAGCTCTGGTCCTTTCATCTTTTTGAGTTCAAATCCAAATGAAGGGGGCTTATGTTGTTTTCTTCACTTAGGTAAGCTAGCTTTGCCAGAATTTAAACAAAGACGAGTGAGATTTGTTCTCTTCACTCAGGCTGTCAAATTTCTATCATATCATATCTTCAAATCATAGACTTCCTTGTTTGAAGGAAAACGTCAAACAGAACAACAGAAGCCTGCTAATATAATAGTCAAAGACATCGAATCTAGTGTTTGTCTCAAAACAGTTTTCAACTTTCTTTTTTGCACTTTATGCCCTGAGAACCTTAAAGTTCATGTGCTCCGAACTATTAACACTTTAGCCATTATTATTCTTTTATGGTGTTGATCACTTCCGCTAATAACAGCTTATGCCATTAAGCAGAATTGAGTAGCCTACATTCCCTCTTTCAGCTTCCCACCTCACGTCTTATTTTAAACCAAAAAATGGAAGATTCCAACTGACACTACAACCACAAAAAGGCATACACTCGAGAGGGAAGAGTACAGAAAGATGCTTCCCCAAAAATTAAGAATATACTTGCAAAACTCTTGGTGAATGAATAAAATGATAAGTAAAATCACTTGCACATGTAGCTAAAGGGGCACAGCATTCATTAGTTAATCAATGACTTGATTAATACATTCTCCATTTATTTCTATAATTCTACTCGTGCTTGCTAAAGCCTTTATTCACTGAACCAAAAAAGTGCAAACTGCATAACAGAAAAAAAAAAATGGCTTCCTCCACCATCCCACCCTACTTCCCATGCACCCCAAAAAAAGAAAAGAAAAGAAAAAAGGAGTGAGGAAGAGAGGGAAGATAATTAAATAAGGGAAAGTCTTTACCTGGAAGGAAGGTAAGAATTCCAAGTGCAAGAAGACCATATGCTTGAGACTGCTCCCCTCCCATATGACCAGTGAGGATGAAAAATGACAGAAAGAGAAGAAGTGAACCGAGGCAAAGCAGAAACAATGCGAGAAGAATTGATTTCCATGGAACTTTGTCTAGATATTTCGGCGTGTAATCAAACCGAGGATCATATTGTTTTCCCTTTATATGACCATCGTCACTGTAAATGTCATCTCCATCCTCATCAGTGGCAAGTGGAGAGTATTTTACATTACGCTTTGATGCCATTAAAGCAGCACCAGGTATGCAGGATGGGAATTGCAGGTAATCTTCCAAGCCCTCCTGATGAATTGAGTAGAATGCAAGCCTTATCAGTAAATTTAAAAACCAGATGAATTTTCCAATTACCTAATTGCCTACCACCACATTCTCCCCATCCCCCAAAAACCACCCAAAAAAAAAAAAAAAAGTTGCTTGCTTTACAAAGAGAGCTTTGTAATAGTTAAATACCTTGGAGTCTTGCACCCTCCGTCAATTATTCTAATGGGAACATCACCAAAGATCCGAACATAATTTTTTTTTTTTACAAAAGTTGAAATTTTTTATCTTGACATTCCAAAATAGTATACGTATTTACCGATAGAGGGTTAATCCTAACAGCTAATCAAAGAAAAGAGTTCACAAACCACCAAACAAATGATATTTCAAACCAAATAAGATTTACTTTAAACAACACTTTCAAAGTTCCAAATGAGACCCTAAACCCTAAAACCCTAAACCCTTTCATATTTTCATAAAACAAAGATACCCTCTCTCTGAAACAAGACCCTATTTGGGTGTATTACATAAATCTGCTTCCCTTAATATTTCACATCTTTCATTGCTAAATGCCTAAAAGTCCAAAACCCATATTTAAAGCATAAGCTGACACTGGCCAGTATTTACTAATTGAAAAAAAAGACAAATGACTTATTTCGACTTCTATTCAGATCAAGAAAATCAGACCTCATTCCATCACGAAGTCTAAAGAAGCTTTTACCACTTTACAATAGCAAAATTAATGTACTTGTTTCTTCATCAATCTTAATTGGCATATCCAATTTCTTCCAGTTTGTTGACACTCTAATCAACATTTAGGTCATAATTGTCTAACACACTACTAACTTTTCGTCATCTCTTTGAAAATATGAAAGATATCCAAAGAACTGAAAAAAGTAGCAAACCATCATTTAAAACACATCCAATGTTCTGATTGCTTGATGATTCTCTCATCCCGTCTCTAACTTTTATTGATATACTTGCCTCACCCAGTAATAACAGTCACATCCAATTGAGGGTGTTGAGAAAATATAGTCTCGATTTCTAGAATCCCAACAGATTGCTAAACAACTTATACCCTTTGATAAAATTAAATCCTACATAATGGTGGAATGGGATGGAGGGAGAAAAAAATACCTTGAATCTTCTCTTGTTACCAAATCACGGCAGCTTAAATATTTTAATTTATCATCCATATTTCCTCCAAAAGAATTCAATTTATAGTTTGGATTCTCATATATAAATATACACCCAATAACATCAATACTCACACACCTTGACTCCTGTAGAAGCGACTAACACGGATGTCACGAATCCTTCTTAACATTCAGGTAATTCAGTAAGTGAGCTTTTCACTCCGGCTCGCAATGGTATCATTTAAGGTCAATGATTTTGTCTTAACGCCAAAGATAACTACATATTTAGCACCAAGAAATATGCAACTTAAAACCTAATTCTGCTCGAAATTGTAATAATGTAATCAACTCTTAATCTCTCATGCTACCAATTGGCAATTGCTACTGTACCATTAGGGTTTAGGAATATACAGAAAAACTTGACAATTTACACTTAGAAATGGGGTTTGAACAATCAAACAATCTGTTGAGAAGACTAATTATACAGTAATCAAAATATTGATGATGAACAATAACAAAACCAATCAAAATGAACAGAAGAACAAACAGCATTTTATCTATATTTACATCGACTACATGAACAAAGCTCTGAAATTAAGGAAGTAAAACACTAAAAATGTTGAGAAACTAAGAATAAACATCATTAAAATCAGCAAAGTAGAGAAATTTATGGAAAAATTTATGAGAAATTCGAATATTACCTTACACCAGACGAAAAGATGTGAATCAAGAAGGTGATTTCCCCTCTCTCTGTTTTCTGCCCGCCAATACTGAAAATTCTTGTTCTGTAGATTCCAAACTTGTACCCAAAATGCCCAGCGGCAATATTGAATTTTCTGTTTTTGTCCAATTTGGATTTGGATTTGGATTAACCCTTTTTGTCGAATTCGTCTCTCAAAAGGCCACAAATGCATATGGATGGGTCTCGGGGGCTGATGGGCTGGTTCAAACCTAACCCCCACCCCCGATGTGACCCAACCTATTTATGGGATTTTGGTCAAACTTTAACATTGACTTGTAGCATGAGTAATGAGTATAGTCGAGCTTGGTTCAATTTTCCTTGTGAATGGATCATAATTGTGTAACACGTGCCACTATTCATGTACTCATGATGTATGACTATCTGTAATGTGTATGAGAGCATTGGTAGGATACGACACACGTGATCGAAAAATTGTTCAAAGTCTGTTTCTTAATGTATATCACAGGGTATTTGATTTAGATTGAAAACAAAGAGCTCCACCTCCTAGTCTGATTTGTGAGCCGGTTTCAATACTTCCAATCTGGCTTGAATGAGTTTACAACCCAGTTACCCAACCCAATGGCCACCATTATCCACAAGGCTACGCCCACAAGTTTACAACATGCCAACCATCAAGAGTGACAACATTACACAAAGTATTACAGTTTCACTACATTACACAAAGTAATACAATTTCACCTAACCTTGTTGTTTTCACCAAAGGATCAACTCAATACTACATACTTACTTTGTCTCTATTTAACCTATTTTTTTGCCTTATGCTATAAATTGGGTCGGGCTTCAAAATTTTTGACCATATATTCTCATCAATCAATAAGAGATAATATAGTCATGTGGAGTCTTGTTGGATTCTTCTTATTGTATATTTTATTAATTTTATTTTTATAATTTTTAAGCGTATAAAAATAAAGTTATATAAGTTTCGAGACGCGTCCTGGAGACCGCGTAAAGTCTATTGGGGCAAAAAAAAATAGGAAAAGAGGGAGTACAAGTCAATTCTTAGCATAACTAGTTTACACAACATCACCTTAGCTTGAAATTAAAAAAAAAAATAAAAAAAAATGGCATTAAACTGTCTAAAACCAATAACACTACTAGCTAGAAAATCAATCTTCCCTGCCCAATGTAATCAATCATTCAAACCAAATAACATGATAACAATTAATCCCCTCTTTTTTTTTTTTTTTTTTTTTGAGGATTAATCCTACTATTTCTTACTAATAGTCCTCTGTATCATCCTCCTCCTCTGTATCCTCCTCCTCTGCTTTCTCCTGCTCCTCTGTATCCTCCTCCTTCTTGGCAGTCTCTTCCTTAGCTTCCTCAAGCACCCTGATCAACTTCTGAAGACACTTATCAGCAGTATCTTCACAAGACTTGGGCATCAGAATCTCCGCGACATCAGCCGGTGTTATCTTAACTTGACTCAACAACTTGTTAATCACATCAAACAACCCTTGATAATCCTCATTATCATTTTCTTCAACAAGCAAATAATTCTTAGCAAGAACCTTAAACCCTTGAAAACTACAATGCGACATCTGAATATGTTTATCCATCCTTCCTCTTCGAATCAATGCAGGATCAAGTTCCTCCACAAGATTTGTAGTAAACACAATAATCCTCTCTTTCCCACAACTTGACCATATCCCATCAATGGAATTCAGCAGCCCTGACAATGTAACATTACTCGAACCTCTCTCAGCCGCTTTCGCCGCTTTATCAGCTCCCTTCTTACCATCTCCCTCACTTCCCAACTCATTATATTCTGATATCTCCTTGCTCTTCTTCCTTTGGCCAGTTAACTGAAGCGAGCAGTCGATATCTTCGATCACAATTATCGACTTGCTCGTGGTTTCGATCAGTAGACGTCTCAACTCTGTGTTGTCCTTCACTGCTGTGAGCTCCAAATCGAAGATGTCGTACTGGAGATAATTCGCCATTGCAGCAATCATAGTTGACTTCCCTGTTCCTGGAGGACCATATAATAAGTACCCTCTTTTCCATGCCTTGCCAATTCTTTTGTAGAAGTCTTTGCTATTACTGAATTTCCTAAGATCATCCATTATTTCTTTTTTCTTGTCTGACTCCATTGCTAGTGTGTCAAATGTTGCAGGGTGCTCTAATGGTATACCACTCCACATGCTGCCATATGTAGAGTACCTATCCAAAAAAAAAACATTCACAAAATTACCTTAGACAAATATGACAAGAACCAATATTTAATTTGATTAAAATAAGTATGATTTCATAGTGCCATTTTCACTTGCCAATTTTTTTCCCTGCATGTTCTAATTTTTTTTATTTATTATTGTGTGAAATAAGGTTTGAAGTGTAAAACATCATACCTCTCTATTTTGTAATTGAATGAAAACCACAAACACATGCATCGAGACGGTAGTATCTAAATGACTAACTTCGTATTTAAATTCATGTATATATCACAAACATTAGTCGATGTAGTGTATGTAAATTATGCAAAAGTTAAATTGAGAAAAGTGACAGAGATTTATATACTAGAATTTACTTGGGTACAATGTATACCAAAGTTACTTTTTATTCATTTTGATAAATATTGTTCATTTAATTATTAATTGAGCAAGAAACACTTTTGGGTTATTTTGCTCCTTAATGTAAACAATAATTTTCATAAAACTGTAATTAGTGATACCTATAGATGTTTTGTTAAATATTATCAAACTGATTAATAATAACTTTCACAATAACCGTGCATGACACGGGATCTAAACTAGTTACAATAATATTTCCGACTCATGTTTTCCTAAAAAAAAATTATAGGCTGTTTAATTTATTTATTTTTTTCTATATTTGTCACGCAATTTACTGTTGCATAGAATATGACCTCAAATTTGTTAGAATTAGTAAATTTGACTATAAGTGGATGAACTGATTAACAACTTTAACCCGAACCAAAATTGACTCAACTTGATCCCAAAATTAATACGACTACATTATACTCGTACTTCATAGCCTGCCACATCTACTTACAACGCAAAAAAATTAAAAATAAATAAATAAATAAAGGAGAAAGATCATTTGATTCACCTTGAAATATAAATCATCCTTAAACCATGATAATATTAATAATTCACAAGTATTAATATATATATTTTTCTTAAAAAAAAAGGGTAAAGGTGATTAGTAAAAGAATTAAAATATTAACATGAATTTTGAAAAGGAAAAAAAAAAAAAAAAAAAAAAAAGTCATACCTTCCAACATTAGTGTAAAGCCTCCTCTGCCTATTATTGATTTTGATTGCCTTCCCTTGTTTCACCACATATTTTAAGTATTCTTCAGTAATTAAGTCCCTATTTTTTTGGTGAAATGTGATTTTATAAAACATAAGTTCTGGGCCAGGCTTATCACTGCTTGAAGTAGCGGTTTTACCACAAATCCACCAAACTTTAACACCACGAAACTCATCCTCGACACGTTCGTGCTTGTCCATGCTAAGGACCACACTCTTTCCGTCTCGGCCTATCTCCCCCAAGAACCGCTTAGCGGACTTGGAGGAGATAGACGATAGGTATGATTGGACCGCGGTGTAGGCCTCACTACGTTTAAGATGATCCCCGGAGTGCTCGGGGATCGTTACCTCGATGTAGGGATGGAATTGGGAATAAAAATGCGTGAGACGCTTTTCGATAAAGCTACGGAGCTCGTAAGGGATGAATTGGCTTAACATTGCCCATACAAACATGAAACTTGCTAGTGAAGATGCTAGTTTTGCCCATATTCCTAGCATGTTGGTGTTGTTTATTGGTAGAAAATGTGGTGGTATGAGTTTTGGGTGTAGTGGTTTCATGATATGTGGTAATAATATTCAAGGATAATATGACAAAATGATTGTTTTATAGAAAAGAAATGAGAATATACGTACCTTATTTTTATTAAGAAAAGTTAAGGCCTAGACAAATCAGGTAAAATTATTCAGAACTACAAATTTGATTTGATCATTTACTACTTTACTAGGCGTGAGTCTAGCTGCCAAAGTGCCAAGTAGCAATATAGTACTTTTTTTTTTTTTTTTTTTGAAGAGAAGTAGCAATATAGTACTTCACTACTACTTCAGTACATAATACTTGTTTTTGACCAATTTTTCTACAAAAAATTCTGAAATATTCAGGAAATAATATCACAAGTTGTGTACAACAAGTAAAAAGATTTTATTATTTGCTTGGAAAATAGATACATAGCCAAAACTAAGGAGTGCACATGCCAATGATGCCATTTTTGTACAAAATTGATCATATGATTTGTAAATATTGAGAATAGATGGAGACACCAGCACAAAAGTAGCATTGCGCATTTATGGTATCGCTTCAAGAATTGGTAAAAGTACTAAAATAACTTTCCCTGACCATAATTTTTCTTAGATCTTATGTGGTATAGACTCTGTAGAGTATGTAAGATGAGCATCGAAAGTAGGGCCGGCAATCCCTGACCCGATCCGATAACCCGACCCGAATTTATTGAGAAAAACTCGAACCCGAATAACCCGAATTCGACCCGATTTGACCTATATTTCATATTTCGTAATAATATTTAGTTTCACTATTCTTGATAGTTTCTAAGCACAACCTGAAATCGACCCGAAATCTGACCCGAATTGCCACTCCTAATCAAAAGGAATACATTCTTGCCTTTATAACTTGAGTAGTTAATGACTCAATTAACAATCGTTAGCAATAAAGTATATGTTGGTACCGTGGTAATACCATTATCGTCTAGAGAAATTTTTATATACACCCGGTCATCGAGATACATGATGATTAGGGGATTTTTATCCACCAATCACCGTCTGACAAGTGGACCAACCAGGTTCCGCCACGTGTCCTTCACGAAGGCCAACAGGAGCTTGCCACGTGTCAATCACAGATACGTCCTCTACGGACCACTTTAGACACGCCACGTGTCCACCTATGCCAAATGGGACAACCGGCCATCAAGGCCCAATTCAGTCTAGAGGCCCGATCAGCCCTAGGTTTACCTTAAACCTAGAGAGTTGCACGCTTCTCAAGGCTATAAATACTCGATTAATCCTCATTAATCGCGGATTTGAATAATCAAGAGATCAAGCAGAGAAGAACAGAGTTATTAACAACCGGCTAATCTCGCTAACAACGCAGATTACCAACACTAAGCACTCTCACCTAGAGAGATCTCATTACTTTAATTTCTGTATTGATTACTCCTTAATCGGGTACTAACTTGACCGTTGGAGGCGGAGCTCTCAGGAGTCTCCGTTATTTTGCAGGTACAGGCGTCCGGTTCCAGTCTCGGAATTGTAACTCTCCCGCAGGACATCAGAAAACCCCGAAACATTTGGCGCCGTCTGTGGGGAGAGTACTTCAGAGATGGCATCCAAGTCTGTACCGACTCCAGAAGAGAGGCGTCCCCTAGACGACCCTCAAGTTCAGTCGGACCATGATACCGAAAGTGAATTTGAAGTTGAAACTCATACAGCTCCAGACGGGACCCTAAGGGCCCGACGTACCCGTCATACCGAAATGAGGGAACGGGAGTATCTTCAAACAGGAAGCGAGCCAGCAGGCGCACCGCTTGCTCGGCAACAGCCGACTGATGGGTCTGCTCCCATCACAAGGAACGAACTCATGACCTTCATGAGGGACTTCAAGGGAGAGATCCAAGAGTTGATCAACAAAAAACCGCCTGCTTCAGTCAAAGAGCAGTCGGCCAAGAAACCTTCCACTTCACTGAAGAGGAAGCCAGTTCAAGGGCGAGAGATGACTCCCCATCCTAAATCCAAGAAGCAGGAGCCATCTGCTCTTGATTTCACAAAACTCCGTTATCCTACGGGAAATAGGAAACCGGTTCGTCATATTCAGGCGGACGGGTCAAAGCAAACGTTCACAGATGCTCGGCACCTGCTAGAGCAGAAGAAGAGTGACCGATTATCAGAGTCGGCTTCTACTTCAGATTTTCAGGACAGTTTGCGAAATGCCTCGATGAGGCCAACTCAGTCGTACCATGAGAGTCAGTCAGGCGGCACCTCCCGTCAGTCCGGCTTTCATAGTGCCCAGGCGGTACCAAACTTACCATTTGTGCCGCAACAACAGTATTTTATGCAGCCACCTCCATTTGGTGGACCGGCAGCAAAAAACGTCCAACCTATGGACTGGCAGCTACGGCTGCTTAGACTTGGTGAACAGCCGTCGGCCTTCTCCAAGGAAATTACTGAAGCCGCTCAGCCGGCCAAAGTAAAAAATGTTCTAGTAGGCGCCTATGACGGCACTACTAACCCAGAAGACCATCTGATGGCATTCACCAACCTGATGTACCTTCAAGGGTTGGATGATCCCACCTGGTGCAAGTGTTTCCCAGCGACTCTCAAGGGAATCGCACAGCAATGGTTCGGCAACCTGCCGACTGGTTGTGTAAACAACTTCAGGACGCTTGCTTACTTATTTGCCTCCAACTTCGCTATGAACATCCCTGCGAAGAAAACGACCCTTGATTTGGGAACAATTCAGCAGGGTGAAAAGGAGGGGCTTCGTTCCTACATCAGGCGGTTCAACCTGATGAGAATACAGATTCAAGGGTTACCGGATGAGGTAGCTTATACTGACTTTTTTAGAGGTCTCAAAGACGGGTCTACCTTCAAATTTGATTTAGTTCGAAAAAGGGTGGCGACTCTTCAAGAGGCCTTGATTGAAGCAGAAGCCTATATACAGGCGACTGATCTGTGTACGATGAAACAGTCGGACGGGAAGAGGTTCGACAAAAGAGAGGGACGACAGAAACAGTCGTCCAACAAAGATGAAAAAAGAAAAGAGGTCTGGGCGGCTGATTCCTCTAAACAGCCGGCCCAGAAAAAGAAAAAAGAATTCAAACCATACTCCCCAAAGTATGTGTTTAACAAGGATAACCAGTTTATCCTAAAAGAAATAAAGGGACGGCTCTCAATTGAGAAGCCGCTCCCCATGAAGGGTTCTGCGAGCAACCGGAACCAAGACAAAATCTGTGCTTATCATGATGACATTGGTCATCACACCAATGACTGCATCAGTCTCATGCGGTACCTAGACCGCTTGGCTGATCAAGGTGATCTTGACACTTATGTCAAGAAATCTACGGGGAATACTTCCTCAAAAAAGCAGTCGGCCAAAAAGAATCAACAGGCCGACAGTTCCGATACAGATGATGCAGTCGTCTACACCATTGCAGGCGGCTTCTCAGGAGGCGGCCCCACTATTAGGGGCAACAAAGATAATATAAGGCGGTTAGATGTAAATTCCGTTCACCAAGAACGGCCGTCCAAATATACATTTCCTGAGATTGTCATCACTGAAGAGGATCTAGGAGGAATAAGGGGACCGCATGACGACCCTCTCGTTATTGAATGTAAAGTGGCCAACCAGAGAGTTGGCCGAATCCTCATAGATACCGGGAGCTCTTCAGATCTCATCAGCAGCAAATGTCTGTCAAAACTGAAATATCAGACGGACTGCATACATCCGGCCTCCCACCCTTTAATAGGTTTTGGAGGAGGAGTCGTCCACCCACTGGGACGAGTGGATCTACCCATTCGCCTGGGCGAAAAAGGGGAAGGACGACACATGGTAGTCCGGTTCCTAGTGGTAGAGGAACTCTCGGCCTACAACATGATTCTGGGTCGACCAACCCTGAATAATTCCAAGGCTGTTATAATCCCGTCACTTATGCTGCTTAAGTTTGAAAGGGATAATGGAACAGTCGGCTCCCTAAGGGGAGATCAGAGGATGGCCCGAGAGTGCTATCTCTCGGATGTCAAGCCCACTGTTATGGCCACTGGGTCAAGTGGAGAAAAAACAGACCTTGACAATGTCAAGGAAAGTGCGCCTGTTCAAGAAACAGGCGACAGAAAAAGAAAGGCGTCCCAGACAGAGTCCGCAAGAAAGGCAAGAAAATAGCAATCATTGGCAGAGGACCGGCCGGATGAGTTCCGCCCTCAGCCGGCTGGTGAGCATGCGGACCTGATATTAGACGACTCCCATCCTGACCGAACAGTCAAAGTAGGGACGACTGCTCTGAGAAACCTTGGTGACGACTTTCACAACCTGTTGAAAGAATACAAGGACATCTTTGCATTTGAAGTCCATGAAATGCCAGGCATTAGTCCTGATCTGGCAGTACACAAACTCGCTGTGGATCCGAAAAAGAAGTCGGTACGACAAAAGAAGCGGAACCATGGTGAAGAAAGAGGTCAGGCGGCAGCCGCCGAAGTCAAAAAATTACTTGATGCAGGGTTCATTCGGCAATGTTACTTCCCAGATTGGGTTGCAAATGTGGTGCTTGTTAAAAAGCCGAATGGCACCTGGCGAATGTGTGTAGACTACACAGACTTGAACAAGGCGTGCCCCAAAGACAGTTACCCTCTGCCTAAAATTGATAACCTGGTCGACTCAACAGCCGGCCATGCCTTGATGAGTTTTATGGACGCCTATTCTGGTTTTCATCAAATTCCTTTATGGAAGAAAGATCAGGAGAAGACGGCCTTCGTCACTGATCAGGGATTATACTGTTACACGGTCATGCCGTTTGGTCTTAAGAATGCCCCGGCTACCTTCCAACGAATGATAAACACAGTGTTCTTTGATCAGATTGGGAGAAACGTCGAGGCATACATTGATGATATGATTGTCAAGACTAAACTTCAGGAAGATCATCTGACGGACCTCCGAGAAACTTTCGCCACACTCAGGCGGCACCATGTCATGCTCAATCCCAAGAAATGTGTATTTGGAGTTGAGTCTGGGAAATTTCTCGGATTCCTTATCAACCAGAGAGGAATAGAGGCGAACCCTGAGAAGGTACAGGCGGTCATTGACATGCAGTCGCCTCGTACCGTCCGAGAGGTTCAGAAGTTAACAGGTTGTCTGGCGGCCTTGGGAAGATTCCTAAGCCGATCAGGCGACAAATGCCTATACTTTTTCCAGGCAATTAAGAAAAAGGCAAGGTTTGAATGGGGGCCGGATGCTGAGGCCGCCTTCCAGAAATTAAAGGTTCACTTGCATTCCTTGCCGAGGCTGGTCAGCCCTTTGCCCAAAGAAAATCTCTACATGTACCTGGCCGTCTCTGATCATGCGTTAAGCGCGGTGCTCCTTGCTGAAAGGGACGGCTGTCAACTTCCGGTCTACTTTGTCAGTCACGTACTGAAAAATGCCGAGTTGAGGTATCCCCTAGTGGAGAAATTTGGTCTTGCACTCTT